CTCTTCCTCTTGGATTGTTCCCATTAGCAGGATATAGTGACCTTCTTTGTCTCTCTTAGTCAGTCTTGGCTTGAAATTCACTTTGCAAATAGAATTGCTACCATCGTTTTACTTTCAGTCTATGAATTCCTTTTTTAATTAAATGTGTTTCTTGTATGCAGCATATTGTTAGGTTTTACTTCTTGTTCCATTCTTCCAGTCTATGTCTTCTGATTGGAGAATTGAGACCATTAACGTTGATGGTTATAGCTGATATGTATTGACTTATCCTTCTCATGTTATTTTCCTGTTGTTGGCTCCCCCTTGCTTTCACCCCCTCCCTCTGTTTGTTTGCTTTGCCTGGTGCATTCCTTCTGTTGCAGGTTATAGAGTTGTAGTCCTTACTATCTCTTTCTAGAATGTCCTTCAAAACATTTTGGAGCACTGACTTGGTGTTTATAAATTTCCTCAGATGTTCTTTGTCATGGTAATATCTTATTTCTCCATCAGTTTTGAAAAATAGTTTTGTGGGGTACATCAATCTGGGTTGAAGGTTGTTTTCTTTTAGAACTAGAAATACTTTTAGAACTTAGAACTTGAAATAAGTTCTCCTTGACTTGAGGGTTTGTGCTGAGAAGTCAGCTGTGATTCTGATAGGCTTTCCTTCATAGGTGATTTATTTCTTTTCCCTAACAGCTTTTTTTTTTCTTTTTTTTGCGACAGGGTCTTGCTCTGAAGTTTAGGCTGGCCTTGAATTCACTATGTAGCCCAGGCTGGCCTCAAACTTGCAGGATCGTCCTGCCTCAGCCTCCTGAGTACTGGGATTATAGGCATGCATCACCATACTTAGCTCCCTAACAGCTTTTAAAATTCTATTCTTGTGTTGAATTTCTGGAATCTTGATTATGATACGCTTGGCTGTAGATTTCTTTTTTTTGGTCATGGCTAACTGGAGTTCTCTGTGCCTCACTCAACTGTCAAATTCTTTTTCCTTACCAGCAAAGTTTTCTGCCATGACATCTGTGAACAGTTTTTTAAAAATATCATTTGTGCTATTTCTTGCTTCTTCACTGACTCAGTCCATCTTTAGTTACTGTTCTTTGCCTCACCTAGCAGCTGCTGGATTGATTTCTCATGATCCTTTGCCATTTCTAAGGAATCTTTCTTTTCATAGTGGCTAACCTGGAGCATGTCTTCTATATTGGAAGTCTTGTCCTCACATTAGCTTAATCAGCTGTGGATGCTTTCAGTGGAATTTTTATTCTGGATGTCTCCTTGAATCTGTCTGTGGATTCCATTTCCTTCCTATGCTGAGCATTGATAGCTTCCATAATTTTCTTAAGCTCCTGTATTTTTTTTGTCTGTATCTGCTCGAGAGTCATTAAGCATGGTTTTCAGTGTGGACACCATCTCTGCATTTCTCTGAGAAGCTATTTCTGATTGGATTTTTTTCTAGAGCCTCATCCTGGACTTCAGAGAGTCCAGGTGGGTGGCTTTCAGACTGTCCCACCTCACTGCCCCCTGGGTTTGCCTTTGGTGAACTGGATGTCTGCAATTGCATCTTGTTTAGTGTCTTCTCGTTTTCATTTCTTTTTTTAGTTTAATTCCTGGGGTGATGCTTGTAAATTGCCTGTGGTAAATTGCTTTATTGCTAGCATTTAGAACCCTTAGGAAATGACTGCTTCTCTGAGATACCTTCCAGGTGTAGCTGGTTTTTGGGTTTTGAGTGGATTGCAAGATCCTGCATCTTCAGTTAGTTGGGGTGAGAAGTTGCAGCCTGTGTGGCCCAGCCCCTGGTTCTTTGGCACTGTGCCACAGGATTTTCTGTGCTCCTTAGTAAATCTCAGTCTTGGAATACCAGGAAGAACAGCTGTTTAGAACAACAATGTCACTTACGGCTAAAATGATACTATTAGCAGTAACAGTAGCGTCAGTCACAGCCTAGAATATGACAACCAGAGGTAACCATTAATTTGCCACCTTTAACCTTATGAACTAAATTTATGGTTATATAACAATCTAAAACAGACCAGAAAATTATATGCAGTATATTAATCCTTAATATGTCAGTCGTCCTTTCGGGGGCTAAAACGGGTTAAGGAAAAAATAAAGGTAGAAGAGATTAAAAGTAAGACTGGAGCACAAAGGGGGATCAGGCTAACTGGAAAACTGGTGCAGAAGACTAGAGGGAAAGAGAGAAGAGATAAAAAGAACAGAGCAGGGCTGGGGATATAGCTCAGCGGCACAAGTGCCCACCTAGCAAGCGGAAGGTCCTGAGTTCAATTCCCAGGTCCCCCCACCAAAAAAAAGAACATATGGCAAAAAGAACAGAACAGAACAACCACCATCAAGAAACTAGAAACCGTGTTCACACTTCTATGAACAAGATTAAACAATGAAGGAGAAAAAAACAGCAGCAACAACAAAGGACAAGAGAGAGGGAGAAAAAAATAAAAGTCCACTTCCAGGTTTGTCTCTGCTGTCACTGACAGACATCGTGTGGAGACAGAGTCCTGATCCATGCTGATTTATCCCACAAGCCAGCTGCTGCTTTTGGGTGGGGTAGTGGATAAGCTCAGTGAGCCTGCACCTGCTGGCACAGACCAGACTCATTCAGCCTGCAGCTGTCAGCGTACCTTCCGCAGGCCTGAACCCAGACGGGAGCTCTAGATGGAGCCAGCAGCTGCTCCGAATTCTCAGCTCAGCCAGCCCCTCTCCAAGCTGGCTCCCAGCCAGTCACTGTCTCCACGGGACAACTGAGCCCTCAGCACTCACCCCAGCTAGTGCAGTCCCTCACGTCCGCTGCACCTCTCCGCTGTGTCTCTCCATGGAGGCCTCCGGGGTCCCCACCAGTTACTGTGTTTCTGCAGGTTTGAATCACTCCTCTGCAGCAGTGCGTCTCGTCTCAGGGAGAAGGTGCCCCCAGCCGCCTCCCCCTTTGCTGAAGGCTCTCCCCTCACTCTCTCCATGGGCTTCAGCTCACACTTCAGATCCTTCTTGGGTCCCGGGGACCCACATCCCTCCTTCTTATCTTCCTCACGTTGCTGTATTCCAGCATCTGGACGGCGACTCTCAAGAGAAAGGCTCTTTCTTTGCTGCTTACACTCTGCCATCTTGGTGCTCCTCTGGAAATATGTTTGTGTAAGGTGTTTTTAAAAAAGAAACGAGTAATTACTTTCCTTCTTGATACAGATTGGTTCTGAAATAATGTTGAGTGCTGTATTGGAAAAGGAGAAATAATTTAGGTTCATTATCTGGCCCCATAAATACAGATCTTAATACTTCAATTATGTGTATATCATCGAGCACTTGTTGATTTGTATTTTTTAAGATGCATAATGCCCAGGGTCAAATACTGAGTTTATCTAGGAGCAGGTTGTGGTATGGCCAGCAGTAGTTAGTAGACAAGTAAATAACTAGTGCTTGGTTGGATGTCCTTCTGAAAGCCAGTGGGAAGTTTTTGGTGGCAATCTACTTTCTTCCTCAATCGAGCCCACCCTGTAGTGGGTAGCAGGCCACAGAAACAAGTCTCTGAGTCCCTGCCAGCACGCTGAGCACCCAGAGGGATTCTAGCACGAGGGAGCGGCACAAGCTTTCTGCAAACTGGGAACGTTGAGACTGTATGGAACAGGACTGTCCGTGTACTCTCTAGGCAGGAAGACTCTCAGAACAAGTGTGTTTGCCTCTGACGTGATCCCTTCGCACCTAGTCTGGAAAGCAGAGCTATCCATGTGCGTGGCTCGGGGTGCTGGCCCTTCGAGGCTCCCCTGGACTGGGTCGGCGGCCCCAGTCCCCTTGCACTGAGCAGGGGTGCCCAAGTCTCACTGCTCCTGTGCTTGCAGCCTTTCTGCAGCAGCTGTGTACTCATCCCTGGCTTTTCTGTGCAACTTTCATAATAAACGTTTATGACATGCACAGTCGTGCAGTGGAAATCCTCAGAATGCTTCCTTCTTCAGAGTTATAGCAGATATCGTGAGCATGGTCAGCTTACACTTACAGGAAATCCCAGCTGGGTGGAGAGTGGAAATAGTGTAGGTATCAAAACCAAAATCGTAGCGCTTATCTCATCTGAATATTTCAGATGTTCCTTAATCAGACAAACCCTCAGACTCAAATCTCTACTCAGGTTTGTCCTTCCTAACCAGGCATGGTGGCACACGGCTGTAATCCCTGCCCTCTGTAGGCTGAGGCAGGAGGATCACTGCGAGGTCAAGGGCTACACAGTGAGTTCAAGGCCAACCTGAACTACATAGCTAGACCCTCCTTCAAACTGCCTCTCGCAAAGGCTTGACGTTTTTAATCATGTCATGTTCAGCCAGAAATGTCCCGTACTGGTAGTGGGTGACAGGCGGGCAGTGCTGTAGTCTGGCCGCTCCTGATGGGCCAGGCGCCCTTCGAGCAGCCAGTGCTGCTGCGCGGGGCCGGAACGTGAGAGCGCTCGGGGCCCAGGACAGCCCCGCTGGGTGGGGTGGGCAGTCGGAGGGGCCGCCGGGGAGAGCAGCGGGCGCGGCCGGCCGGGGAGGGGCCCGGGCCGGCGCCTTGGCCTTCCCGGTGAGGCCTGGCGGCCTTTGTCTGCGGCAGCGCGGCTGATCTCCCCGTTGCTGAGCACTGTGCGCGCGGAGCGGGGCTGAGAGCAGGTCGGCCTCAGACCCGGCGGGAGGGGAGGGCGGCCGGCCGCGTGCTACCCCCCTCGGCCCCTCGGCTTCCCGTGTCCTCCCCACGCTCCCCGCGGGCCCTGCCCTCCCGAGAGTCGCGCGTGAAGGCTGCGCGCGCTTAGCGGCCGGATCGTCCCGCGGCCGGCCGC